ACGTAGTCCATTTCCCATCCTTCGGTCGAGCTTCCTTAACTTCCCTACCGAGACTTGGGTCCACATTAAATAGGAAGTTCTCTATAATCTCTTCCACTGACCACTGACTCCGGCTGGCGTGAAGCTCCCACTTCTCCAGATATTCTGTGATACCATAGCCCCTGAAGGTAGGAGGCTCTAAGACCTTGTGCGTAATAATATACCGGTCCTTGCTCTCGTAAGGGAGCGGATGTGACTCCCCTGTCTGGGGATCGAAGACTCGCCTGGGCGGCGCCCTGTCTCTATCTCTGTCCCTCCAGTAGGAATCCCTCAAATTTTCTCTCCAATTGTCTATATACCTGTCTGCTATGGTGTCCCTCCTCTGCTCGTACTCGGGGGAGCGTCGCCTCTTCGCTTCTCGTCGTCCGCTCGAGGTACCCGTCTTTAGAGCCTCCTGCAGCTCTGTTGCAACGGGTTCGCCTCTCATGTCGGGTCCTCCGTCATTGGTTTGGTCGGCCCATCTCAGCGGTGCTTCTTGCCTAATTCGTTCCTTCAGATCCCTCAGTGCTCGATCGGGCGATGCCCTGTACTCCTCTCCCGCTTCGCCCGTGGTCGGTTGTGGCCCCATCGTGTCGGGTTCCATTGGACCGTCAGAAGATGCAGCTAGGTATTCTAGCCAACTGTCTCGGTCCGACCCTATGACAGTCGCTGCAGCCCGGACCTGTTTCTTTGTCACAACTCGCGTCCGCCTCCAATCTTAGCTCTCGACTGCTTTGATTACCACCTCCAGTATCCCGTACCGGTCGCAGATCTCGTGTTCTCTCTCTATCTCAAGAATCTCCGTGTCTAAGTAACCTCTCCTTCGGGTTCGGTCGATAAGGCTGTGCCTGTCCGGATCCACAGCACGCCCGTCGCCGGACCTCTATCCTTGAGAGGGATTTCAATCCCAAACCTAGCCAATGTTTCCTGATCAACACTTCTCAAGAGTTCCTGAGCGTCTCTCTCCGACCTCCTAGCTAGTTCTCCTAGCCCAGTCTGAGTCGGTTAGCCCGCTAAAGGCCCTCCTACTGTCGCCCAATGTCACCGATCGACCTCTATAGCTTCCTCTATACTTCCAAGAGCTTCCAATTTCTATTTCCTCTACCTTATGTCCTTAACAGTTACGAGGTCATCTATCTAACAGCTGAGGTAAGTTAGTGCTATAACGACTTGTAGCCTCATCACCGACCGCTCCAATATGTCATAAAATGTCTCAAAGTCCTCACTATCTCCCCCTTCGTCTATCGCCTCTAAAGTCTTCATCGTTTCCTTCCAGTACCGGTTGTGAGCGGCTAACACCCTGAGTATTGCACCATCTGTTACTACTCTCCCTAACTCTCCAGCTTTCCTGGCTTCCCTTACCTTCAACCTCTCAGCCTCTCTGGTCGTCTCGTACCATGCCCTTATCCGAGACCGCCGTTCGAAAGGTGTCACTTGGAGTACGTATTTTATCCTCCGTCCTCCTTCTATTCCAATCCAAAGTCATGTCCCCCTTGCCTCACGTAGGGCACGGCGGAAACACTCTGCCTCCTCAACTATGCACAGTCTGGTATGGAGCTGGAGCTCTATGATCACTAACACTAATGGTCCGTCCAGTCTCCCTACCACATGTAATGAGTACCAATCCGTCGTGTGTAGTGCAGTCCCGCTCATGTCCCGTCGCTACTCCCCCGCGTAACTTTGAATTCCGTTGTCTCGCTTTCTGCAGATCGCTTACTAGTTCCTCCTCGTGATACGCTTCTAGCCTTTACGCTCTCCAGAAAGTCTGATCTCCACGCCTGGATAATCTCTCTTTCTTCTCTAAACAGATTGTCTAACTCTCTTGTCACGAGTTCAGCCCTTCGCAACTTGCCCTCGTCTTGACACGACCAGATCTCCCTTAACTTGTCCCCCAACTTCTTTACCTGGTTCAAGAGTGGTTCTTTAACGCGCTTTCTCACTCTTCCGACTGCCTCACTCTCCTCTTCCATACTAAGTCCACAACTTTCTCCCGCTCATCCTCTCACCCTCGCTCTAGCCTCCTCTACCGTCTCATCGTGGTAGTGTTCCTCGCGCATATAACCATGAGACCATATCATCACATCATAAGTAATGGAGGTCTGGAAGGTCACTCGCGCCAGTACATCAGCTCTACGCTCGTGGATCAAATCCCTAGCTCGTTGTCTGCACTCACTCGCCGTCAAGTCCTCGTCTAAGTACGCTCGGAGAAGTACTGTCACAGTGTATCCTGTGCTCACCAGTTGCTCTTCTACACGCATCACCGTGGCCGTCCTTCCCGGCATTCCCTAAGCTGCGACCTCGAAGAGAAATCTCGCGTCCTCTAGCCCCGCGTAATCGATCTCTGCCCGTCTCCTGCAGTACCTAATCAGATCGATAGGTCTCAGACAGTCCACCTAGTTCGTAACATCTATGATGTCGTCAAGTGTCTCCCTACTGGGCGGCCCCCACCTCACACAAATGGCGTAGTATACTTCCTTGAAGCGAGGTGCTAAGCCCTCCCAGAGCGAGTAAAGTGTGTGGTATACTGCTCTACTCAAACGATCCACGCTCCCATAGGTCTGCCCTATTACGAAGGTAGGAAGTCCGAATCGCCAATCCTTTCTCGGGTAGAGGGTCGGATGTGGTGGTCCGTATACCAAGCAGCTCCTATTCGTCCTCCCTCCAGCGAGTCTCGCCAATTGCTGATTAACGATCACTCTGCCCAACAACTCACTCCTCCACCAACTCCTGCTCGCCCCTGCAAGCGTTAGCCCTATCTCTAAATCGTGTGTTCTATCCGCTATTAGATGTCCGACCCCTTCTAGATCATGAGTCCTCTCGGGTCGTTCGTCTCGTAGTATCACTGTCCATAGGAAGAGCCCCTCTGCGAGCCACGTTCCCAAGTATCGTATCGGTACTCGCCCTGCGTCTTCTAACGCCACAGGAAGTGGTATGTCGTATCCAACCGCCGTCTCTCTGGGTCCCACAAGCTTCTTCACACTATACGATTCGAACTCTCGTGAGAAAACATAAGCTAACCAGGCCGCTGAATCACTCCTCATTTCTTCTTCTACTCTCGGTCACCATCACACTACTCCCACCGATACACCCCATCTTCCGACGTTGCTAACCCTTTAGACAACTTTCGCTCTCCGGTCCAGTATGGTCGAATAGGTTCAGTAGCCAGGTTCACTCATCTGTCGCCCTGGTGCGCTCCTCTACCTCCTACACCCGGACCGCTACTCCTATCCTGGGAAAATGGGCGTCTATAACATCAATCTCATCCTCGTCGACCTCACTCTCTGGGTCGACCCAGTCTGGTTCCCACAGCTCCTCGTCGTCTTCTCGCTCCCAACCCTCGTCGTCAGACTCGTCCTCGACGCGGTATGGCGCCTGTCCTATGGCCTGGTAGTATTCCGTCAACTGATGGCCGTATATCAGAGGTCGCCCGGCGTCCTCACTCCACCAGCTCCCCCAGTCGTCTGAGAAGAGCCGCCCAATGCAGGTCACGTACTCGGGGCCTGCTCGGAGCTCACGGTCCAGCCAATCCCAAACGCACGGAGACTGGGGCCACTCGTCGTCTATCGAGCGGATCAGCTCTATAAGCTGAACCCTCTCGTCTCCCCAACGAGGCCCACCAGTCGCAAGCGAATAATAGATATAGTCCAGGTCGGCAGGTCTTCTCGCCAGGATCTTGAGATCCTGATAAGCCAGGTATGTCTCGACCACTCCACCAATACCTCCAAAGACGCTCTCTACTACGAACGTCGGAACTATCTCCCGCAGGCTCCTAACGCTGTACGGGAAAAACCCGTCCCGTGCTATTACGAGCTCGCCCGTGATATCAAGAGGAGGGCGTCCGTGAAATAGCGTCAACGGGTCACTCGAGTCCTCCGCTCGGAAGGCAGCTACCTCGTTCCCTAGGTAGCGTAACGCCCTGCTAACTGCGTCACTAGTCCCTGTCGTCGCGAGACCCACCACGACCTCCTTGACCGCACCCGGTCCCAAATACAAGTAGGCTTTCACTACGCCCACTCCTTGCCCCGGTCGGTGCTCTCTGTACGTCCAAAGCCACATGTCCTCGGACAGGATTATGGACCTCCACGCAAACTGGCCGTCAGCGTGTCGAATGCTGCGTCCGGGGATCGTGAGCTCGACCAGATCCCCCTCTATGAGTTCAGGGGGCTCTAAGTCCCGGTCAATGGTAGCCCCATAGACCTCTACTTGCACCCGGGGCCACATTCAACTAGCGGCTGGAGAGAACGCAGCAAACGGAAGGTGTAGATTAATAACTGAAATTTCTCGTCGCTTGCCTCACGCCTTTGAGAACAAGCTTGTACGATCACCTGAAACAAGGTTACCGCAACGTTTCTTTCCC